TTTGTGAAGAAGACTCCGGGGCAATTCTCTGCATTCCTTAAAAAACCAAACAAATTAGATTATGTTAGCAGTGGGGAACACAACAGCAACAACAAAAGCCGCCACAGAAAGCCCCCAGACCCCACAACCACTCTTTTATGGAAAAGGTGTTCAATGGTTATCAAATCTGAGCTAGAAAGAACCTGGTCTTTTAAAGAATGTGAACTGCAGTTGCTGTGATTTTTGTTTCAGTCCTGCATGGGTGTTATGATCTAAACACAGGCCCAAGCAGGCTGAGGGCAGTTTAGAGTTCTTCATCTCTTTAACACAGCTCTGCCAAACTTGTGGCTGCGTTGCCTGCACACGTCAGGTCCTGCTGTCACAGAATTAAAACTTATCAGGATCCTAGAAGCTGAAGTCCAGAGGCAGAAACCCCAAGGCTCCAATCACAGACCTTGCAAACAGAACTGCCAATCCCAGGGCACTCAGTGATTCCGTGATACAGAAAATTACCTGGTAGGGTCTAAATTGTAACCTGCCGAGTCCGACCTCTGTTTAAACTAAGCCCAGTAAGCAGGATGAATGCTGTCACTTTCCATAGATGTTTCTGTACCACGTGGTGCTTTTAAATTTCACTACTTAACTTCCTGTTTTCTAAACATTGAGATGTTTTGCATTATTCCCTAAAAAGGGAGGAACGCTGTTTACTAAGATCCCAGACCTGTTTCTAGGTTTGTCTGCTCTTCTGACCGTGGCTCAATTTCTTGCGGTGGCCCTCCCGGTGGCAGTGCTGACCCCAAATACAGTGGTGATGGTTCAGTTCCGTACGGATTGGAAAATCCTGGAGGTGCAAAGCCAGGTCCCGGACCAACAGGCTGAGACGGCACTGAATAAAAGGGGACACTTCGGACAGCTTCCGGCTCACCAGGAGGAATCATAGCAGCTGACCCATCAAGGACAGCCTGAGGTACTGCAGCACAAAAAGAAGTTGAGAGTTATAATTGAACAGATGTTGCGGTGCATGAGCTTTTTACCCTATGAATGATACAATGCAGGAGTGAAATCTCGCTGCTTCTACCACCCTCTTAAGTGGTTTCTTACAGCAGAAACTTGAAACATTTATTTTCTCTGTCATGAAGAAGGATATGAAACACGAACCTGAAGGCATCAGCTGCACGCTCTGCATCTGTTGAGCCATATTGGGTAGTAAGGACGCTAACAACGCGTTTTCAGCACCCGGACCCGCATCCCGGCCACCCCCTGCTCCATCACATTGACTCGCATGGTCTAATTCAGAGCTCGGTGTACTACATGCATATGGCGGCGGGGTGGATCTGTCTGTGTTGTAAGCTATTGCACCCTCCTGCACAAAAGAGCAAGGTTTTATTAACTGTACCAGACGTTAAGTTCAGAACCAAGGGAACGTACAGCAAAGGAAATCTTAAAGAGGAAAAAGAGCACATGAGTTTTCAGTGTTTAGTCAAAAAATGAGTTGTCAGCCACTTGCAGGCCAAGTTCAACCGTATCACTGGTGGGGTTGGTTGGTTTGTTTAAATTGAAGCTTAGTTAATTAGCTCAAGGTTTGAATTTCTAATAGATCTCTTTAAATTAACAGTAATTATTTCCACTCTGTTACAATCTAGCTACATTAATTCACACACAGCTTTTTTTTTCTGTCAAGCAGACCCTCTGCTTACAGCAGGAGTTACTGCGACCTAATGAGCCTTGCAATCCTCCTTGCACTGCAGTACTAAGAAAGCCTGTCTCATGTAACACACCCTTTAACTATGCTGTATTCAATCTTAGGGCACTAAAGTATGGTAAATCCACCTCCTTTTAGTCACAACAGTTGCACTCTACCACACGAACATATCAAAGTCACTTTGTTTCTGTAATTAGCATCATAAACAAATCCATTTTAAAAACTGGATTTACATTAATCCTTAGAAGAGAACATTCATGCTGAAAAGTATGTTCTGTACCTTGATCTGTCCATCCACGTGTCGAAGCGTTACTAACCACGAAGGTTCAATAAAAGATTCTTGTTCTGGTTTTTCTTTTATCTGTGGGTCAAACAGGCGTAGTTGCGCTGACATCTAGAAAAAGGAATCGTTGTAAAGTTGAAGTAACCCGGCCAACAAAAGGCAACTTTAGCCACAGCTCACACCTACAGTATGAAGCCACAAATACTTAATGCTTCCTGACGTTACCTGGATTAGCTGGCTGATAAGTACCGGTGAATAGTAATGTGGATCTTTAAGGACAGTTCTGGAAATCACTTCACAGTAATGGAAAGCCTGAGCAGCAAGTCCCATTTCAGCTAGCCGGCAAGCATAGATGAATTTGAAAACCTATGGAATGCAAGCAGGGGAGATAAACCAGGGGAGCACAAGGTTCTTAAAAGCATCAGATGAAAGGCAGCCTGTCAGCTCAGCTAGCCCATTATCACATCTATACTAGTCGAGAAGAGAGAAAATTAGGGTAAAAGCATTCAACTCCCCTCTTCCACCCAATGTATCCAGTGGAGGTTATCCATTTGTCTACAGCTAGCGCCAACAAATTCTGCTGATTTCTTTTAGAATATGGATTTATGATAATAACATTTAAAATTCAGAAGTTCAGAATGCACAGATGAAACACGCAAAAGGAGATTTAAGTGACAACAGGGAAAAAGCTATCTTAGACTGCATTATCCATGAATATTTCACGTTACAAGGGATAAAGTATTTGCTGTGCTGAAGACAGCACATGAGAGATGAAAACTTCGTTAAAACGTGCCAAAATAAATAATAATAATAATAAAGAAAAGATATAACAACTCTTCACCTGGAAATTGGGCAAGCAGCCGGGCTGAGTTCCTAGTGACTGTGCATACTCATAGGCTTCTGTTCTTTGGATGGCTTCATTGGTGGCAAACTTAAAAAATGGCAAACTATTCAGGAATGGGAGAGGAAAAATATTGTTTAACATTGAGATTATACATGCCAACAATAAACACAGATCTGTCCATGAGAAAAAGTCAGAAACAGCTGCATTAGACACAGAATACCTAACTTCTACTCCTCAAACAAGGAGAGGACATCAAACAGTTTTCTCAAAACCAGCTGCAGCTAGCGAGCACAAGGGGAGCAGCGCAACTCAGTCCCTCCAGCCACTAAACTTTCGGTTTTGCACCTAAAAAGTCATGTTTTAAAAAAAAAAAAAGTAAAGCCAAACCTATGATTTGATCCAATTAGGACAAGCTTTGTTGTCTTCCTTGTGTAAACTCCAAAACCAACTTGGGCCATAAGGTAACAAAAATGGGCAGCATCCAGCAGGCCTTTGGAAGCTGTAGAGAAATAAGCGACAGAACTCAGGGCATTTCCTTGGTGGCACAACGCAAGTCAGCGTCCCGTACCATTTTGCCTTTGCATTCAAATACCTTCACAACAGAGACAGGCCCATATCAAACTGTTCCACTTTACAGTTTACACAGCAATTGCTTGTTTGCAAAAAAGTAAAGCTGAGTAAAGCTTTCAGAAAGCTTTTCCTTCAGTCATCACCCTGTTCATTCCCCAAGAGTTACCAAGAGTGTCTCCCATGGTAGCAATGGTCCTGGATTCCAAGTCCACATTATTGGTCAAGTTGGATAACACCATTGCTAGATGAGGCCTCCAGTCTCCCCATTTCTCATCTCCACAGCACTAAAATTAGAAGAATTGCTTAGTCAAATCAGTGACTGGAGCTCTGCATGGGTGTTTCAACCTATAAAGGACCAAAACACCTTATCTGACATTCTAGGAAAAGCACATGGAAAGGTTACTGTGGCAGACTACACTGCTCACTGCAGTACCTCTAAGGCTCTAACGCAGCCCACGCTTTAATCTTACCGTGGACGCAGCTGGCATCCTTCCAGACATGAGCTGGTAAACAGTCTGCAGAGGGTCATTAATTGGGAGACTGTTGGCAAACCTACAGAGACATTACACAGAAAAACAAAAACCAAACACGGGGTAAGCAGTTAAAATAAACTGGAACACTCAGTGGCAGTTAATCTAGCTTACTTTAAGGGAAAGAAACGCTATTTGAAAAAAGTAAGCTAGATTAACTGCCACTAAGGGAAAGAAACGCTATTTGAAAATACTAGACTGAACAAGCTATTGTCCAGCAGGTTATGGCCAAAACCAAAACATTACTGGTTGACTGGTTCTGCCACTCTGACCGAGGTCAGTCCAAGCTAGGAAAAACCTGGGGATTCTCCTCATATCAGCTGGCTAGATGATTTCATGATCTCACAGGCTCAGGAAACTGAGAGAAAGTTTTCCTGTCTGTAGACAAAGCACGTACTAACACATCTGCTTTTTCAGACAAGGAGAACAAGGGTACCGCAGTTACTTGGCTTTAAGCGGACAGTTGTCACTGCAGTTTTTCAGAGCCTGACTAACAGCACCGATCAAGCAAACCCACAGATGATACTGTTCCAATATCCCTTACATGGAGAGCGTGACAGAGTAACCCCTCAGGTTTAAGCTTATGGCCAGAAAGCCCCAGAATAACAAGTAACAGATGACAACTGAATCTATAGGTAAAATTAAAGCATAACTCTTGTATAAGGTACTAAGAATAACTCGTGATTTTGACATCAAGACTTCTGAGCACCAAGTCTCTGCCTCCTTAGCAGAACAGATAGTCATATTGTACTAACAGACAAGCAACACAGTACCTTGTCATAACTCTTGCGTGTGTCCTGCTGTCCATCTTGCTGGCAAGTAGCAGAGCATGACCCCATAAACCATGCTTCATGGCAGACTCCAAAGCATCCTAATTAATACAGAGATCAGTTTTCTGGGAAGAGTTTAACACACTAAGATTTAAAAAAGGATTGGTTTACAGCAGTACTTTGTGACTGAACGAAAAAGTGTTTAGATCAAATACTAACACAGAAATATAATTTTGTTTTATATTACAAACTGCACAACATTTTTCCATGTCAGCGTAATGCAGTGCCATGAAACATGCACACAGTAAGTCGCAAAAATTATTTTAAGTAATGCCTAGAGCTTTCAGATTTGTGGAAGTTAAGTAAAGAAAACAAGACACACAGTATTTGGAACAACAGTAAGAGTATTCACCTTCTTGCGGCCATAAAGCAGCAACTCTCTAAATCGCTCAGTCTCTTTCTCAAGACTGTCAATCGCGGTTACAAGACTATCAGTGAGAAAGGAGAGCTGGGCTTCACCCGATTCTTCTTCCACTTGTTCCAAAGCCTCATTAGTGAAATCAATCAAGTTTGCCTCATTAGGGGACTTCCCAGGAAGCCACACTGTTTTATGATCTCGGAGCAAAAGTTCAGCCAGGTCTGTTCCCACAACGGTCTATACAGGGGAGAGAGGAAACCAAAATCTGTTATTTCAACATCGCTTTCATTTTATTTGTCACCTCAACAGTCATGTATGAATATCACCACCTCTGAGCACCCACGGACAAGTGACCAGTTTCATCTGTTTCCTCAATTTGTGACGTATTCCAAGAGACGTCACTATACACACACTGCTGTCTTTCACATAATACCATTTTGAGTATGAAATACTTCAGAGAAGATGAAAACTCAAGCAGTGAGACATACCCCATTCTGCCTGCACAACAGCACAATGAAGTCCCAAAGCAGACTTGCAGATTCTTTGTCAATTAGATTTTCGTTCTTAAAGCACTGCGTAGCTTTATTTTGTGCAAAATTAATAACATCCACTTTATGGGTATCTTCCCTGAAATCACAAAAAAAAAGTTTAGTCAGATGAATGTAAACATTCAGATCATTATTGTGATTAGTATGAGGAATAAATTTAAAGCTCAGGTATCATTTAAGCAGGTGAAAAGCCATAAATATTTTGAGTCACTTTAAATCCCGTAATTTGCAGACAAGTAAGAGTTTGGTGAAGAAATTAAATCCGAAAGCATGGAAGTTCTTATTGAAATCCGTAAGAACATACTTAGCAAGAGGACCAGGAAACGCCCTCATCTCTTCTTGCTCTGGAGAGTGCTGTAGCATAGTCTGAAACACAAACATAAACCACAAGAAACTCTTATAACTACGGATTCTGCTTTTTAACAATAAACCCCCCAGACCTGAACATAGTCTATCGTGTAATTAAGCCTATTGCTCTAAACGAAGTACACAGGGTGACTTGCAATCTGCACGCGGATCACCAATGACAAACTGCTTCACGTGGGAAGGCATTCTGTAGCAAAACGGAAAAGTCTGCCTCCCATGGCCTTCGCAATTTCCCTGATGCTGTTGTGGTACCTGGGTACACTTCTGCTTCCTCCTAGTGGTATTTTACCAATGAAGTCTACGCTCATCACGTAAGCCTTCCACCTATCTTGTGTTACTATGGCACGGCAAAAGAAGGATGAAGATACACCCCTGGCATTTAATCCCCAGACCATCTAGGCAACAAGCAGTCCTCAGCCCTGCGGAGAATGCAGGAGGACAACGTCTCTATGAACAGCAACGCATCAGAAACAAAGCAGCACAGCTCCAGCCCTTCCAGGATGGAAGGGCTCTGCCTCAACAAAATCACCAGGAGCTGGGTGACCTGATGAAGACTACATGAAGATACACCCCTGGCATTTAATCCCCAGACCATCTAGGCAACAAGCAGTCCTCAGCCCTGCGGAGAATGCAGGAGGACAACGTCTCTATGAACAGCAACGCATCAGAAACAAAGCAGCACAGCTCCAGCCCTTCCAGGATGGAAGGGCTCTGCCTCAACAAAATCACCAGGAGCTGGGTGACCTGATGAAGACTACATCACCTCTCAGAGGAAGAGAATTTTTAAAGTTAGTTTTACTTACGGTTACAGCCCAAACAGATAAATACAAAGATACATGCATTGATGTAAGAAAGAAAAAGAAAGTCAGGAAGCTATAGATCCAAGTTCCCTACTCCCCTTCCAAAGGAAGGGCCTATATTCCACCACCCCCCCTTTTTTCTTTCAAACGTTACCTCCATACTGTGTATTTCAACCAGGGCTGGCTGTCCCTCTGAAGGCAGGTTTGGCAGCACTTTGATTAAGAAGCCCCCAGGACCAAACCTAGCACAGATATGAGGCACTGAAAATTTCTCAGGCGTTGAGGGCCTTAAAGGTGCTGAAGATAAAATAAGAACAGATAAAATAAGAACAAGTAATTTGTCTTCCAACTGAGTAACTTGCTGATGTAACTTATCCTATTCGCTAATCCTGCAGTGCTAGGGGAAAACCCCTGCCGTTCAATTTGGCTAAACTTTATAAACAACAAGTAAACGGTTTCATTATGTTCCCAAAGATCTGAAGATTTGCAACAATGACAAAACTAGACTATAGACCTTCAAAACCCATTCATTTTTTCAACGCAGGGGCTTTGCTTGTTTGTCTCAGTCCCATTTCCGGAACCTCCGTACAAATACGATATATCTCCAAAGAGCTAACTACATCCTTTAGCATGTCACATCACAGAACGACATTTTGTTCCACACCGAAGGGGTGAGGAAAAACTTGAAGGTAAACTTTATTCATTCCCCAGGAAGCACAAGCAGTGTAGTTAAAAATCTACCTACAGACACATTTACAAATGGAAGTGGCAGTATTTGATAGCAAACACTGCCCAGCTACTCCTGTTCTGTGACATACCCAGATTTCAGCATGTTATCCTTACGCTGAAAAGGAAACAAAACGTTGTCCATGTGTACACACACTGTAAACCAGGACCTTTTTCTGTTAACAGGCTCAATGAATATACAAAAGGCATCTCATACACTACAAATACTAACAGAAGTGACAAGTACTGCTGGTAGAACACCTCGCAAGCACAGTTCTCCCCCCTCCTCCCGCAGTGGTGCCCATACCTTGTTCTACAGCTGACCATCCAGCTTCAGGCGGGTAGCCATAATCTGTAAAAGGCTGTTGTCCGTCAAAGTTAGCAGCGTATCCGCCATATGGATAATCTGTGTGGAGCGACACTGCCTGCGCAGTAGGTTCATACGTATTAGCCGTTAGGTCGTGATTACTTCTATACAGCTGGCTCTAAACAGATCACATTAGTAATTGTTAGCAGAGAGCGTGAAGTCGCACAAAGCAAGCCATGCTGCAAGCATGAGTCGAGACGGTAAGCATTCCTCCCGGGCTTCAACTCTTCATACTGTTTGTAAAGCAGGCTTGCTACGTCACTGCGCTGGAGAGAGCTACCCTAAGAGACAGCTATAGCAACCAGCTACAAAGGTAATCAATGTATCTTAGCGTTCTCCCTCAGTGTCTTTGTCACCGTGTGATCTGTTCACATCCGCACACATTCGGTTCTCTCAGGACAGAATGCCGGTGGGCTTGTGTCAAGAGTAACATTACAGAACGACTTACAGGTTCAAATGTTGCTCTGTCAGCAACTGCGCATCAGAATGAATGTTCAACTCTGCTCTAACACCCTGACAGAAAATCTCAATAGCTTAAGCCTGATGAATGCCTACATGACTTCAGGTGTCTCCACATTGACGCCTAAATGACCTCCAGTACTACTTCCAATATTAGTAAATGAATCGGAGTTCAGACTGGAAAACCACCTAAACTTCCAAGAAACACGATGCTCCAACACTTGAGACTAAAATGACACGTTCCACTAGCAAAGACTGCACCTTGAAAAGTAACCAAATGCTCTGTTTTCCAGGTATTTGTACTTATGGCATAAGTAGGTGAGTGGTCAGTTAGATTTGGTTTTTGCTTTTAAAGTCAAAATGGCATCATACAAACATGGGGTTAGTCTTTCGACAGATCCCAAGCTCAGCAATCGCATTCACGCCTGTGATGAGAACAATGACGCATCGCTGAAAGCCAGACACGTGATCACCTGCAGCCAAGCACAGCAAGGGCAACGTTCTCACAAACAGCAAATGGACTCAGGAGAGGACATTTTCCATTTCTCTGTGTGTGGGAACTTGCACAGCTCAGTGCTGATTTTGCTTAAAGCTCTCTTGACAACTGTGATAAATATTAAGTTCAAAACTATATTACAAATCAGCCCTAACTCAGAGAATGAAAGTTTACAAAATACAAATTCCCCAAGCTCAACCCAGGAGTATTTCCATATTTCTAATGTTTCACCCACCCCTAACACAGAAAAAGACCCAGCTCAACCAAAAGAATACCTGATGTGACCATTTGAAACTCACTTGCTGGGAACGGGAGCTGAAACTACTCTGGCGACTGTGAACACTGCGGGAGCTGCGGAGGCTATGACCGGAATGCTCACTGTGGACACTGCGTCGATCGAATTCATCACCGTAAGGGTCTCTATGGGGCTCAGATTCATCGTCAAAGCTTCCAGCAAAACGAGGATCGTATCTCCAGTTATCTTCGTATCGGTCATGTCTGAAGAACAAAGACACGTACAAAGCAAAAATGAACGCAGCCACCCATTTTCCTGAGGGAACTGACCTCGCTGCATACCGGTCAAGAAGAAAACCGTACCCAGCTTCAGAAGGGCTTTTAGATTATTTCCTAGACGGAGTGTTTTACTACCGTAACCAAACTGACATGTCTTCAACAGGTTCATCCAGAATATTCCAGACCAAGACCAACATCATACTCAGAGTCCGTTCTAGTACAACCCACAGGACACTCACCAATCTGAAACCAAGTCCTGCTGCCTTAAATCCTTTCCTCAGGGAACAGGACAGCTCGTCTGGTTTTCCCCAACAAACTATGTTCAAGTAACAGACAAGACTATCAACATCGCTGTGAAACGTGTAGCACTGTTTTTTAATAGTCTGTTAGAGGATGTAGCTGTATTCCGAGAGTTATTATTGAGAGGATTTTGCTTACAAAGCTCCCCAACACCCTGAAATTCTGATGCCTGATATAGCACAACAGCACATAAATTCTGAAGGCTTTGGGGCAGATCTTCAGCAAATAAAGTCGCATTTCTGTCAGTGTACAAGCAAAGCCTCAGCCTTTGCCTTAACACTCTCATATCTTAATTTTCTGGGGACACATTTGATTATGGAGAGTCAGCCCTAAAGAAAGCCTTCATTCCAACATCCACGCTGGTTCTTGGATGATCACAGCACCTAGGCCCTACGCTGCCCTTGATCTGGAAAGAGCACTGAGTGAACATGGATCGGATGGACAAACCTGTTGCCGTACGGGTACGCTTCTCTCTTCTGGTACGGGTTGTGTTCAGCATCATACCAATACCTCTGGTCGTAACTTCTAGGATCTCTGTATCTGGGGTCATATGTTGACTGGTAACGTTCCCAGCGACTTGGATCTGTGGACAATAAGAAGAAATAGTTTAGGTATTGGAAGCTCTTGCCTATAACTTTTTCTACTCCTTTCTCTTTAATTACATGTTCATTTGGTCCTGAAGAATATAGCAAAATAAAAATAATGTACCTAAAGCTACACACATCCACTCATTTTTAGTCAAAAAACAAAAAAAACCTTTAAATAAATGGATTTCACACCTTCCAGAGAAACATGGTTATTATAGTCAGCTAGATACTCTTGAAGGGACAGTGTTTACCATCAGACAGATGTTTTCCAACAACTTTAAAACTCTATCATAACCTGATAACTCAACAAATACTACAGAATCTTTGTGATCAGCCTTCAGAGAATCACCATGATGTCTCAGGATGTGGACAGATGTTGCTCAAACTCCTTCCAGGCACTTACAAGCAATTATCTTCAGATTATCAATGCCTGTATGTCTCTGAGCATTCAGATAATTATGGACAAACCCAAATGCCAGGCGTGAGTCAATTACTGCTTACACCCACCTAAAATTTACTTGAGAAGTCTGCCTGCAGGTTACACGCCAAGGACTCCTCCCTAGATAAGGGAGGCCAATGGCATCAGGAATGTGACCAGTAGGACTAGGGCAGGGATTGTCCCCTGTACTGGGCACTGGTGAAGCTGCACCTCGAATCCTGGGGTCAGTTTTGGGTCCCTCTCTGCAAGAAAGGCATTGAAGGTCTGGAGCGTGTACAGAGAAGAAAACGAGGCTGGGGAAGGGTCTGGAGCACAATTCCTGTCAGGAGCAGTTGAGGGAGCTGGGGGTGTTCAGCCTGGAGAAGAGGAAGCTCAGAGGAGATCTTATCGCTCTACAACTCCCTGAAAGGAGGTTGCAGAGAGGTCAGTGTTGGTCTCTTCTCCCAAATAAGAAGTGATAGGATGAGAGAAAATGTCCTCAAGATGAGCCAGGGGAGGTTTAGATTGGCTATAAGGGAAAATATCTTCCCGGAAAGGGCTGTGCAGGGAGGTTGGTGGAGTCATCATCCCTGGGGGGATTTAAAAGACACAGGGACGAGGTGCTCAGGGACAGGGTTTAGTGGTGGGCTTGGCCGTGCTGGGTTAATGATTGGACTTGGTGATCTTAAAGGTCTTTTCCAACCCGAATGATTCCATGATACACCCCAGTGAATGACAGGCTTGCAACACATGGAAGGCAATCTGAAGGCTGGTAGCATGGAAAAAACCCCACTTCTTATTTTCTATTTACTGCTTCTACTGAATAAAACCATACAGGAAGGATGGCACAGTATTAAGAACTGAAGTAGGCCCAAAGATAAATTTTTAGCAAGTATAACTTAATTCTTGCTGATTATGGAAAGGATATTAGTTTTTATTAATATGGAAAAATCTAATAATTCTCTGATCTTGAAGTTCTTCTTCGCCAGAATTTTTTGTTTAAACCTGCAATTTTCTACAGAAGAATTCACAGTTCATGTTGACACTTTACCTCCATAATCATACGAGTTTGGGTAATAGCCTGGATAATAATCGCTCCATCCACTTTTTGTATAATAATCTTCAGCATACCCCTGCCTGAAAGCAAGCACACAGGTATACAAAGTTATTATTCCTCCTTCAATCTCTTCCAAAGTCAGCAGGAGATACGAAGAACTACATGCCACAACTGATGAGGTGGAGTTTCATATTTAAAATAATTCATTTACAGGAAATCAAGGAAGCCTAAAATTAAGACTTTACAAACCAATATATCACTGAATTGCTGTGTGCCATAAAAAGCTGACAGCCCTGACAATATAGTAATTCAGTGAGTTTTGTAAACTGCTTTGGTAATAAGTTTAATTACTTACAGACAACTAATCACAAAAAACTACTGCTGTAATTAGCATTCTGTGAACTGTCTCAACAGAGAAGTCAGTAACTCCACAACTAACGAAATAATTGCTCCCTCAGCTTTAAGTGTGTTTTGTTATCCATCTTACAGCGATGAAATGAGAACTGGAGAGGAGGTTATAAAAACGGGTCAGGACATGAACTAGCACTCTCACGGATAATTCTGAGCATGGGCTTTCAGCCTCCAGGGCTGCCACTGTGGCATCTGTCACCAGGGTTAAATACAGTCAGAAAAGAAACAAAACCAAGACACACAACACCTCTCTGGGTGCCTGGCTAAGGAACTCAGCATCACCTTGCCTGACTGGAAGCTGATGCCAGTCTGTGGCTGCAAGCACAAAGAGTCCTGATGCTGCAGGGCTACCACTACAATCACCCCAATGCTTTATTTTCATCCTGCACTCCGTCTGTTTCTCAGTCTCAGCTTTTCAGCAGATTCAACAACGTTCTGAGTGTTACCGCACCCTGATATTTAATACTTCAGTGAATAAAGGAGACAGCATTGAGAGGCAATTGTAACACAGCCCATCACTACACAACTACTTCCAGTCACCTCCTAGGTTATTACCCTTCTCACTAGGCTGGGATGGATAGTGGTGTGTAGGAAAGGTTTGTTTTAAATTTGAGCAGATAGAGGGAACTGAATAGAAGAAAATACTCATTTACAGAGCCCATGTTAGAGTGCTGATTATCCAAGTGAACAGAACAAGCACAAGAACAGGACTTAAACACGTCAAAGTAAGAGTCAGTGCACATATAAAAGATAATTAGAATACTTTTGATGGAGAAGGAAAGATGTGGCCACTACTTTAAAAATCATGAGCCTTTGTTATATGCCATTTTTAGGACACCATCCCACAATTTCTGAAAAAAGCTAGAAGATGAATGTTAGATGAAAAATACAGTGTCTACATATATGTATGTACACATATATGAATATACACGTATGTTTGTATCTACACACGTGTAGATACTCAAACACACATATGTATACATGCATGCACAGGAGGTAAAGACATTCAATGCCAATGTGGAATGATGGGAACTTTCAAGCTCCTCTACAACTGATAGTGCAAACTCCAAACTGGCCAAGCAAATCAAGTAATGCTCCTCCCTGGAACATGTGGGAAGTTTGCTAACTCAGCACCTGCCTCTGCAGAGGAGGAGATCTGATCTTATCAGATCAGGTTTATCCACCCAACCAATATGCTCAATCTCCTTCAGAACGAGGTTATTCCCCCCCACCTCAAACAGGGTTTACAAAGCTGCATCACCAATACTGGTACATTAGGGGCAAGTTTCAGACATGCCATCACCCCAACTTTGCCACTCTCAGGCTCTGCTGCCCTACAGTACCATACTGCAGTCGGTGTCCGACTGCACCGTCTCACATCAATGCTGACAGCGACCCGTAACAGGCTTTGACCTGCCCAGTGCCAGCTACAGGAATTTCAACCGCTCACAAAACCAGTACCGGAGAAGAGCGTACACCAGGAAGTGCTACTAGAGGTTATTATCTCATTACAAGATCTCACACTGCACTTCGATTCACTTAAGAAGATAAAAGTTATCACACGCAGCTACAGCCATTGTTTTGTACTCCTCAAGGCCAATCTTCACCTCCCGTAATCTTCTGGGGGTGGTAAGCAAATGTTATGGTTTTAATTTGAAGCCTGCTCCAACTACCAACAACAGACAAGTACTACGAAGGGTTTCATCATTTCCGGACAGATAACTGGGGTTCTCTCTTGGAAACCTGCAAACCCACCCACCAGATAACGCAAAAGTAACGTTTTGTCATTAATGTGAAGTTCACACAAATCACTTATGCGATAATCATCAGAAAGCAGTCATCCCTGGAAGGTAATTTGCTGCTCCTTCCTTGAGAAATACTAGAGATTTCATTTCTGCCTTTTATTTAATATTTGCAAGTAGCATCCAAAAACAGTGCTTCCCTCTCTCAAATTCTTTATTTCATATAATCCGGCAGACCAAGGTTTCCAAGTTCTCCTAATTCACGTGCTACCTGCACCAACACCTGCAGTGAAGTCAGCGGGTGAAACATGCCCACGTAGCACCTTTGCTATGCAGATCACAGCTGGGGAGTTTTGGGAGAAAGCTCATCCACACCGCTGAGGTAACCCTCAGAATAATTACCCTGAGACAGCACCGGTGGGTTTTCACTCGAGTCACCATCTCTGAACACCTGAAACACCGCGTAGTGGTAGGCCACACTATGTCATACGGCTTTAGCAACAGAAAGGACTGCCGAATTGCATCCTTTTGGGACACAGCATTTGATACCGTCTATTCCTACGTCAGCACCATGAGTTTTTGATCCTCCTCACTGGGGCTTATGCTGTAAAACTTCCACTGCCTCACTGCTGTGGAGTTAGTGGGTCTTTCCTCAATCTAGGGACTGCATACCTAGAAGAAGGCCTGTCTGAGCAGTGACTGGCTCTGGAACTAGGACGTTCAGGCTCAGAATACCGATAGCTCCCAGGCTCCATGTAAGCAGTGCTGGTGCTATCGTAGTGTCTGTACCGCGGGTCATACTGTCCATAGCTATCCTCCTAGAAAAAGAGATTGACATGTAAGGCAAGAGATGTCCCACCTCCAAGAATAAACCTTTAAAAGCAAAGAAATCCCCACAACTGTCATACCTCAAGAGGTGCAGATCAATAGACTACATAGCTTTCTACACCTGGGTTGGCAAGTTATATTCAAGTCTATTAACATCCTAAACTTAAGAAAAAACCATTACATCTCGACTAAAGGCAGTTCAACCACTAAGCTGGCCCCTCCACTAAACTGCCAGCAATCCTGGCAGTAGATGGGAACCAAATCTAAACACCTGGGCAGCTAAGACAGTTATAACTGCCAACTTTTTCCAAATATACCGCTGTCAGTCGACATCTGTGCCAACTGGAGTTGGTATTAGCAACCACTTTAAGTTCTTATAATGCTTGTAATGTAAGTTTTGTTAGTGCTATCTGGATTTTTCCC